AATTTGAATATTTTATTTCATATGTCTTAACTTAAAAGTTTGAAAAAACTTCTTCGGAATTATGACCAACAAAAGAAAAGTACGAAAATGTGAATTTGCATTCAAAATCTCTCTCTCTCTTTATATATATATATATATATATATATATATATATATGAATCTGTTTGGGGATATTTTATTTTAACTGTCCCTCGCTAATTTATTTACACGATTCTTTTCCCTTCCCCTCGTTACAAGTATATATACTTGTTTGTTATTTTAGTGTGTTTCCCCCTCTTTTTTGCTCTTCAATATCGTTTATATTCTTTTCGCTAATCCAACGATTGTCTCCTGATGAGATGTTGGCTGAAAGGGCCCTAGAGACTTTTAAAATTAAAATCAATGCATTCCTTGTTTTTAAAATATATATATATATATATATATATATCGCCTTTCTCTCGATTGATTGATCAGTATATATTGATAGAGAGAGCATGGACATAGAAATTAAGACAGGTGACAAATATTTTTATCTGTTCAATGCTCTTTTCGAACCAAGTGCCAATAATCATTTAAATTATTAAACAGCTATTGGTCAGAGATTAATTAGACCAGGAAACAATTGTATTATGTGTTCAATACACATATGGAAAAAATAAAATTTTATGTGCAGGGCTTTTAACTTAAAAAAAATTAGAACATCAGCCAATTATGCTACTAAGGTTTCAAATTTTAGGTATCTTCTGGCGATATAGGCCGAAACTTTTGGCCTATATCACCTGAGGAAACCGAAATGTTGAAACCATATTAGCGTAAATAGTTGATCTCCTAATTTTTGAATATATATATATATATATATATATATATATATATATATATATATATATATATATATATATATGTATGTGTGTGTGTGTGTGTGTGTGTGTGTGTGTTTGTGTGTCAGATATTAAAACCTTCTATCTTTCATGATTTTTTTCGCCTTGAAACCAAGTAGCGTTCCTGATATTTATTTTGTCTTTACACGCGATCGAAACGGAATAGTCCATTATTTATGAGTTATTGGCAGGGACAACGCTAATGCGAACTAATGATGGAAGCACAAACACGATTCTTTTGTGATAATAACAACGAAAAGAAAAAGAAAATCTCAGGAAAATAAGTTTAAATACGTTTCAGTTCAGAAATTTACATTGTTTAGAAATGTATATTGCAGGGAGTGTGCAATTATGACATAGCTTCACTCAAATACACGTGAATATTAAACGTCAGACGAATATGAACCAAAAATTGATAATTTTACTGACATTAGAAACCTGTGAAATCAATTGAGAATGATTTGATTTTTTTTTTCACGGAGACACAGTAAGAAACGGCTACAAATTTAGTAAATGTCTTACAAGGCTGTCTTCATATTAATCCACCAATGTATTGTTGCAGTTTGGATGCCAAGCAATATTGCGTTAGGCCTTCACTTCTGCACATACTTTTATTAAATTTGCTGGAAACATTTTAATTATTACTTTAGAAGATACATCTGTCCTATCGTTTTTCTGTTTCCCGAAGAAATCTCGCAGAAGATGGAATAAATTGAATTTTGGAAGAGATGAAGAATGGTCTGGAACTGTTTGCATCCAACAGAAGACATTATGAAAAAAAAAATTAAATTATAAAAAATTTCCCACACAAAGTCAAATCGCGAGAAAAATTGGAAAAGGAAAGGAAAGTGATAAATGAAATCAGTTGATGACGAAGAAAGGAGAAAAAGTAGTGTTTGCATTGCTTTTAGTAATTATTATTACAATTATGGGCTTCCATAAATTTCCAGTAAAATTCTTCTCTTGTGACTCACTCTTTATTATTATTATTATTATTATTATTATTATTATTATTATTGTTAAACTCAAATTAAATATAATTTTCATTTCATTGTTCTCGCATAATTTACGCTTTTTCTTTATTAATTATTTGAATTAATTTTAATAATATTTTGCCTCATGTTGAAAACACCAACTCAGTATTGTGTATGTTCCCTCTACACTGTAACTTGAAGGGGATTCACACGTAAAGATTTTCAAGAGGACTAATTGCCCCTACAATCGACTATGGTAAAAGCTCTTTAAACACATAACAATCATTAGGTATGTGATCATTCATCCTTCCTATTCAAATACCACTGGCTACCATTAGTAAAAAAATATTAGTTAGATCAAAACAGAGAGCTCCCTACTCGTATTTCTGAAACAAACTTCATTTTGTCCACGGTTATAATATTAAAAATTATTTTTTGTCACAGTTTCGTTGTTAAGCCATTTTCTTCGGACGCCTGCCGTGGCCTATTAATTAGTTAGAGTAGATATCTGTGTTTAATGCGCACCTGTAACGTTTGGTTACAACATTTTCAAAACGACAACTCACGTGTGTAACTTGCATTGACCTTATGAAATATGAAGCAGCTAAATGGTACCTAAATTCATTCAAATTTCTATTTGTATTGTAGCGACGAAAAATAAAAATCTATATAATTTTAAAAACAAGGGTTAACATGATGAGCAGTGTTTTTCAACCACTGGATGTCACCATAAACAAAACATTCAAGTTACTTGGTTGCAACCAGAACTAGTGAATGAAGGGTGACACGAACGCCCCCCCCACTTACATAAGTCTGACCATGATTTCCGTTGTATATATATTTCCGATCGCAATGGTGTGAAACCTAGGGTCAGAAACTAATATCAGTACAACTAAGTATGTTAGCTCTATCACTGATATTGAGCGCTTTCCAATAAGTACCCGCATATATATATATATATATATATATATATATATATATATATATATATATATATATATATATATATATATATAAAACCGTTCTACTTAGCGTATGGAGCCCTCTACGTTCTCGTTGTCTTTATATTCGCTTGGGTCTTTTTCTTTGGTCTAAGGACTTAAGGCACTTGACGATTTTTTTTTTCGCCATGTTCTGATGTTTTTAGTTCTTCCTTTTTTACTTCAATTTTTTCCTCGGATAATAATTTGCCCTCAGGTGTCTACAAGTTGAGTCATCCAGAGTTTTAATATTGTTAACATATATATATATATCTATATATATATATATATATATATATATATATATATATATATATATATATATATATATATATATAAACAGACCACTTTAAGGTACCATTACAAACAGACCACTTTAAGGTACCATTACAATAATTTATTTCACCAAAATCCTTTTTAAAGGACCCCGGATCATCAGGTAACACTTCCAACAACGAAATGGGATTAGAAATTGATGGTAGTGTAATTTTTGTAATTTAACAGGGAGGGTGATAGTTGTAGTTAACGAGACAAGGTAGAGTATAGAGAGGGGTAAATTTCATATTTCTCTTATGCATGTTTTCTATTGGGGTAGGAGGAGTGACTTAATCGTGACCTATTTAGATGGTTAACTTAACGGAAATGATATATAGGAATGGGATGGTAGTGGGGGGGGGAAGAAAAGGAAAAAAGGAAATGAGAGAGGAGACAGACAAGTAATACAGATATATATAAATGACTGTTACGGCAAAGAGAGAGGGGGAGAGGGAAGTGAATCGAAAATTCAAATTTTGGAAGTAAAGTCTGATGATCCAGAGCCCTTTAAAAGGGTTGTGGTGAAATAACTTATTACATGGAACCTTGAAGTGGTCTGTTTTTATTCAAACAAATATATAAATATATATATATATATATATATATATATATATATATATATATATATATATATATATATATATTGCTAACAATAGATTTCAAAAATTTTAACCTTTTCTTGTCCCTTCACTTTTTCTTTCCATTTCTTTTATACAATAATATTTTATTATTATATATTCCATTTATTCCCCTAAATTTTTTTCATTACATCATCTTCTAGCCACAGCCCATCTTTCTACACTTACCAGCTTGTTCCGATAATTTTTGCTACAACTTGCTACACGAGACGTCTTTCCCCCTCCCCAACCTATAATTCTCTTCATCTATATTTACAGTTTGCATCCGCTCCTACGAAAAAACACGAATAATAATAGACCTGCCTAACGCTTTTATACCGATCAAAATTTTAAATTTAAGTTTATTGTCATAAAAGTTTCGTACATCGATGAATCAGACAGAGTTCGGGTTTTTGGTAACAATAAGATTTCCACTAGAAAATACACCGTCTATAA